CGGTCGTTGACACCAACTGCCCTTGACAACCATTCACTGCCAACTCTCCTTCTAGGCAGGACAGCGCATATGATAGGGATCCCTCCCTTAGTCCTAATACGATCTATAGCTGCCTTGAACTTATCAAGAAGCTCCTCTCTCCTTCACCGGCCAATATCATTGCCTCCTGCACTGAGGCAGATAATGGGTTTGTTCCCATTACTAGACAAGATATTGTCCATCCTGTCAATTATATCCCCCACCCCAGCTCCTGGCAAACACACCCTCATCCTATTTTTGTTTTTACCACAAAAAGCCCTGTCCAAGTACCTTACCTGTGAGTCACCAACAATTAAAGTTTTTATACCTTCCTTGTCAACCCTGTCCCTGACTGTACTAACGTCCAATTCGTCTATCAAGGAACTGAAGGAGTTGGTACACTTAGCTGTTGATGTCGTTGTTGATGTATCCTTGGTGTGTTTTTTCATCACCAGTTTAGTCTTCCCTCTCCTCACAACCTTCCACTCGCCTGAGTTTTCGTCAGACACGGGCTTTCCTTGTCTCGCCTCTTCCTTCAACCTCGCCATCTCTTCCTTTAATTTCAGGTTCTCCAACGTGGCCCTCTCTAATTCTTCCTTGGCCCTCTCCAGCTTGGGCAACATACTTGCACACCCCAGACCACACATAGCACTGGCCATATCTGATAATTATCCCTCAGCTAACCCTGCCGTGACCTTTCCCCTAGTGAGGTTAGACCACATACATACACACACATACATACATTGGGATCAGTGTGAACTCGGCTTCTGACTACAGCGTCCTCCAGAATATATTGAACAGTCTCCAAAATTAGGCCACCAACAGCCACGTCACCATCAACCATACCAAGACCATGGTTATGCACATCAACCTCTCCTCTGACCTTGTCCCATCTCCCTCCATTACATTAGGCCCCAACAAACCCCAGGTTGTCGACTCCACTAAGCTCCTCGGCGTCACTATAGATAACATTAAATTGGATAACACACGTTAGTGCAAGTGTCAGATCCTCTAGTTTTCGTTTCCACCTCCCGCGTAGTCTGGAGTCCCCTGGGTTCCCGCGCCCCTACCTGGTCTTCCTCCCTAAATGCCACACAACGTAAACACCTAAAAAAGTGTCTCTTTCTCACACACACACACACGTCTCTCTCTTTCTCCCTCTCACACACACGTGTATAAATCTATTTAAATTTACAAAATATTAACCAAGGCAACGTGCAATAACACAGCGCCCTGGGATCAGCGGGAGATAACCCACCGACCGTGTTATGTAAGAGGCTGACGGCGACGTAGCTTCTGCATTAATATTTATATCTCGCTCTCCCTTCCCCCAACCTCCTCACCCAGTGGCCACAACAAGGGTCTTACTTTACTTCATTACCAGTTTTTACTCGTCGTCATTCCTCTAACATCGCCAAGTATGAAATTTGGATATATGCATTTGAGTGACGTGTAAAGTGCTGGATACCAGTATTATAAGCCATCACAACAGCGTTTATTATACCAGAAGAAAGAACCACCAAACTGACTTCATGTCGTGTGTCATATTTAACCTAACTAGATTATAGTCTTTTCTAAACTCTTATATTTGACCATGTTTCACAAAATTACATCTGATGAAAGGTATTTAACAGTCTTATAAGCATCTACAAGAACAATCCAGGAAAACACTTAAAGACACATTAATAAAACCATAGTATCCAGGTGGTCGAATACTCCCTTAACAAAATTCCTCATCTGGGTTCGCAAACTACCCTCCAGAATAATCTTCTCCCGATGGGCCCCTGGGAGAATTGATGACACACGGCCACTGAAGAAACTCTGTTCAATTATTTATAGCGTTTCTAGTTCATAGTGAAGCAGTTTTATCCCACGAACTGAACATTAAGTACTGTAACTATCCCGTACACTTTAACACTGGCACGAATATGTTCAAAAGGATCTGATAAGTACAATAGTGAATAGTACTGTACAGTCGTGAACAGAAGTCCAGTCGCCCCTTCTGCTGCTCCGCGAACCAAGAGATTCAGACTCATGAATCCGAAGCATTAATGGGCAGAATAATGTACCAGTGTCTACTGCTTCGGGTTTATGAGTCTGAATCTCTTGGTTCGCGGAGCAGCAGAAGGGGAGACAGGACTTCTGTTCACGACTGTACCTTTTACACACACTACCCTGTACAACCTAATATCTGTATTCATATTCTTGGGATTAATATAAGATTCGTCTCCCCAGTTTATTTCACCTTAAGATTAATCACCCTTAGGTTAGCTAGAAGGGATTAGATTAGTTTAAATTAGGATAACGTTAGGGAGATTAAATATTAAGGTGAAATAAGGGTACCTAATCGTTACAGGAGCCCCCCCAAAATAAATATATCAATCTATGCCAATATTAGAGGTTTTGAAAGTTAACATCTACTCTTTACTGATCCATAACTGTGTCCTGGGTGTCCACAACTACCGAAAATTATCCTACGGCCCTGGTAAGACTCCAGGGAAAGGCGGGGTGGTTGAGTCGTGGCCACCAGCAGCTAATTCTGACTGACAGTGGCGGCTCCTTACTCATCACACACCACCACTTTACTCACCCCTACATTACCACAACAAAAATGCGGCTAAGTCTTTGTTTCTGTGGTAATATGAGGTTTACCTGTCCTTGGCCTCGTGCTTATTGAATACCTGTTTACGATTGTTGATTACCGACGTCTGTGAACCCTAGAAAGACGCTTTTATTATACCTTGTGATCAAACCTAACCTAACCTAACCCAACCCCCAAAAAAAATAACGTTATAGGGTGTAGAATCGTGTTTAAAAAAATAAATAAGCTGGGTTATCTAAAATCTTCACGTGATCCCATATTTATTTCAGTAGTTACATCACTAACAATGAGACGAGACAAACAAACAACCGCCGCTAACAACCACCACTACAATTTACAAGGGTCACAGCAACTCGTTCGTTACTTCAGATGATTCACTCGCCACAGAAAAAAAAAACATAAAAAAATAGACTCGTTCTCCTTCAAACATTAGGCAGCAGCATCATCTTCACAGGAGCTAGGTTGATGGGAGAGTTGAATGATTATAAAGTATTAGTGGTGTGAGCCAGCCAGCCTGCAGCCCTCCAAGGTCTACTAGGCCAGACGATGACCACACCCAAGCTCCTTACTCTCCTAACATCATCATCTTCTCTACCCTCACCACACCCTTACCACCCCCCCCCCCACACACACATTCCAAACACTACTTTACAGCTGCCCAGACGCCATCTTTGTAAACTGTATAACCACACGCTACCAAACAAACGTTCAACCCACTTGGCTAATGAATGTCTGGTATAGCTGGTAAAAGGAGCATAATGATGGATGAATGATAATAAATAATAAATAAAAGAGGGTGAATAAAAGGGGAGTGAATAATAAAGGATGTATAATTATGAGATATCAATACTCTCTTCATTAACCTTTTTATTTTTATTTTAAAGTAGGTTAGGTTAGTGTTAGATTAGGTTAGGTGAGGTTAGTGTTAGGTTAGCGTTAGGTTTGGTTAGTGTTAGATTAGGTTAGGTGAGGTTAGTGTTAGGTTTGGTTAGTGTTAGGTTTGGTTAGTGTTAGGTTTGGTTAGTGTTAGGTTTGGTTAGTGTTAGATTTGGTTAGTCGTATGTTAGATTATGTTAGGTTAGAATAGAAAAGTGTTAGGTTTCGTTAGGTTAGGTTAGGTTAGATTACTGTAAGTGGTTTATATAAGACTGTTACTGTTGTTGTTGTAGACAGCACATCACCTAAGGAAAAACTTACGTTATTATTTTCTGTATTCAATTTCTATTTTCAACCAGCTATGAAGGAAAATACCACGATGTTGAAACAAGAGGAAAAAAAATCATCAATATTCGACAACACGATAAGGGTAATTCTCGGCTCAATCTTGTTCTTTTATTTTTGGGACGGTTTATTTTATTTTATTTTTTTTTTGTGTGTGTGTTAATTTTCAGGCGGGAACTGAATCTTGAATTTGGTGGTGGACAGTAGCTGGTTTATTGTGCACTCTATATTCATCCTGAGAACTGTAGGGCAAAGAGGATTATTAGTTACAGAGAAGAGACGTCACAAAGGGTGTTTATCAGACCCCAGTGAACAGGATATTGTGGCGGTAAGTGTTAAGAGGATATCTCTGTACATTGTTTGTTTAGTTCTGTATATATAGGTTAAGTTAGGTTAGGTTAAATTAAGATAACTTTAGGGTTTAGTATATAATCAAGAATTCAAATAATATGAAATTCTTAAGTCCTATTCGTCAAGAGACCCGTCGAGGGATCAGAAAGAAAGTTTTCAGTAAGTACACACACACAGCCAGCACATCACCAACCACACACAAACGCTTGCTCAAGGTCTGTGCATTCGACAAAAAATAATAACAGAACAGGTTACGTGTGTTTCCCTCAAGTGTTGTGTTAACTTAAGCTTTGAATTAGTGAACATGAGGAGATGCCCCCACACACGTGTAAGGTAGTGATAAAGTAAGGTAGGGTAAAGTTTAGTAAGGTTAAAGTAGGGGAAAGTAAAGTAGGGTAAAGTAAAGTAGGGTTAAAGTAGGGTACAGTAAAGTAGGGTTAAAGTAAGGTTAAAGTAGGTTAAAGAAGAGTAAAGTAGAGCAAAGTCGAGTAATATAAGGTAATGTAGGGTAAAGTGAAGTAACGCAAATTGAACTAAATTAACTCAAAATAATAAGCAATTCAACCCGATTCTTTCAACATACAGTACAGTACAACAGATGATAATAATAATAATAATAATAATAATAATAATAATAATAATAATAATAATAATAATAATAATAATAATAATAATAGTAATAATAATAATAATAATAACAATAACAATAAAAAATAACAATAAGAACAATAAAAACTAATATTTAGGTTAGGTTAGCTTAGGTTATAGGTTACTGAGGGCCGTGGCTGGCGTTAATTAATGTACTCACAATACTGACGACAGCGATAATGCCGATGATTCTGTCCATCCCTGCAAGAACAACAACACCATTAGATGTACTGTTCGTATGTCTGTGTCACCATTAGTTTAAGTCATTCGTGTTGAAATATATAATAATAATAATAATAATAATAATAATAATAATAATAATAATAATAATAATAATAATAACAGTAATAATAATAATAATAATAATAATAATAATAATAATAATAATAATAATAATAATAATAATAATAATAATTACACAATTGCATGGTCTTAATTGTTTCTCTTTGACAACACAACTTACATTTATCGTTTCTCACTATTGATCTTTTTTTCATTTTTGTATTTCTTTATGGTTCTTTAATGTTGTTGTTATTATTATTATTATTATTATTATTATTATTATTATTATTATTATTATTTTCAGTGTTATTATTTTTATTGTTATTACTTTATTTTTACTTTTGGATTTGTTATTATAAATTTTATTTACTATAAACTAATTATTATCATTGTTATTATTATTACATTTTCGCCCCCCAGGCCCCGATGTGGGACAATTTATGACCTGTGCCCGGGAGGGCTAATCCCCATAAAAATAAATAAATAAATAAGCTTTTTTTTACCGAGTACAGATTTACCAAGATGAGGTAGTACTTCCAATTAATGAAGTCAGTGACGAAAAAGCCATGTATACACACGTGTGGTTCATTAAATTAAATTATCAGTGTGTGCGTCAGCCCGTCCGTCAGGGGTAATAAGTACAGTATAGGACAAGAGGTGGAGAGTGAGAGGTGATGAAGTTTAATATATATTTATTTTTTTCCTTCACATATATTTATCAACGTCACTAGGCATCGTCATTACCACTATACCTCCCACCCACACCCCATCACCACTACCCTACACCACCAGAAAAGGAAACATTAAAAACGCTACTGCCGTGTGTGTGTTTAAGCACAGTATATCATTAATACACTTATACATTATACATTAGCATGTTTAAACCCTTACGAATAACTTGAGTCAAACTAGAAGCTGAAGTACTTTAAGTGGCCAGGAGGGAGATGAATTACTGTATGTATTTAACCCTTCGCACGACACAGCAATCCCAACGAGCCGAAGTAAATTGTACTTGGGCTGTGCTGTCGAATTTTCTCCGTATTTCCGATTCCGTCACCTGTCTCAACCCATCTTCCACCTGTACGTTTTTAGCACACGCAATACTTTTCTTCATTAGTACACGGAAAAAAATATCAATAACTAAGTTCAGTTAAGCAGAATATAATTAAATTTACAAAAAAAGTAGTACAGCATTTAATTGATCTGGTAGCCTATCACACAAATAAACTTTTCTCCGTCATCACAAACAATTGTTTTCTTCCGATAGTGACAAAGTCAATCTGACAGTCATGTACAAAACTATTGGGTGTAGCTAATTAGTAGTAGAATAAAACAGCACGGAGAAAAAGTTAATTGATCTTATAATGCCATATTTCCCCACTACCTAGTTTTCCTTGAAACAGTGATGACATTTCTGACCTGACGAAAGACTGTCTAGTTTTGTAAACGCCTTGGACTAATGGCAGTATATGACCCACGAAGTATCTAGAGCAAGGTTTTGACACAAATCCCAACAGAATAATACAGTTTTACCTTCATATCCTGTTTCGTTAATCTTCTCTCATGGTTCAACGCTTAATCCTCAGGGATTCAAAAGTTAACTTTCCTCCACAATTAATTCTCCACTGAGGATCTGTATACAGTATTTGTACTTTCATTCGTACTAAACAATTAACAATTTGAATTAAGAGCCAATAGTTATGTTATTTGCTGCTAATATTAACAATAAACAATACGGTGGTTAGTTACTGTAGTAAAATAAAATGATTCAGTTAACTTCCAGGTTGTGTTTTAAGCCGGTTTTCTTTCAGCACCGCCTTAACTCTGACATTTCCTCAGCACTGGACAACCATTGTTATTAGTGGTTTGTATTCCTAAGCCTTTTTGTTATCACATAAAATTTAAAAACGGCACAATCGTACGAAGAGATTCGGCTTCAGGCCAGAATTAATATCTTAAATGTGTAAACAGCGTACGTGCTCAATCTTATGCCCTTTGATCTGGCTTCTGTACAGTTCATGCTTATGTTTTTGTCTACAAGGAATAAATATAAACAGGTTGAGATGTAGTAATCATTTTTCAAGAACTATACACGTGCCAGCAAAATGACTACTTCGTAAATTAAAAACCCTCATTATTATTTCAAGTATTATAGGGTGTGGGTAGCGATGTTACTAACCTTGATACGTGTTTAAGTACCTTCTTCTCTTTGCCACCCCCTAACAAGTCAGGCCGTTTCAGAAGAGTGAACTATCTTGAAGGGTCGTGCCAGACGCCCAGACCTCACCACACAGTACACCTACTGTACCCAGTTGTTTATCGTGAGACTCTTGCTTCACGCCCTCACCCCGCCTTAACATACTGTATTGGCTGACTGACGCCCTGGCGAACCGATTACGTCCTCACAACTTTAACTTAAACTTTACATACTCTCCTCAACAGACTATCCTACTAATGATCAATACATTTTTTTAATATTGCAAGAAAGAGCGATTTCTGAAACATACAGGATATCCATCGAACATAATAAATAACTGAAAACCAACTCGACCTATTTTTTACATTGAATAGGTTACAGGAATTTTAGTGATTATTATTTATTGATGTATCTGAAGATCTCACTGATAATGTAGAAGATATGAACGATGTTTTGTTTATATAAATGTTTTCTATCAGTTCTCGCTTTAGAAGATTTAGATGTTCCCTAAGTAACTAAAGAGATAGAATAAATAAAAGCTAGTAAGCAAATGGATAAAAAAAAAGAAAGGCGATGAGATGTTTGTTCGAGTCCTGAAGCAACTAAAGGAAGAACTTAGTAAACTTTAAAAATTGTTCAGTGAGTCACAAAACTCTCGTATTGTATTAGAATCCTGGAGGGATAGATTTGCAGATGAGTGGAACGAGTTACCAAATAATAAAAACAATTACATTGTAGGTGGGTCACATAGGCATGAATGCCCATTAGGGACAATGTGTATACAGTACACTGCACTGTACAGTCGGGGTCAAAAGTTCGCTCCCACCCAAAATGAAGCGGCATCGATCCCAAATGAGATGACACAGTCAGGGTAAGTTAGTACGGAGACTCATTCCCGTAACTCCCTTTCACCACGGGGGCCAACTTTTGTCCCCGACTGTACAATCAAAGACAAAAGTCGCGTCACGGTTTTGTCCGAAGATTAAATATAACTCGTGAAACATCTTGAGAGCCCCCTACCACAAGGCAGAGCCGACCAACAGTTTAGCCCTTAGGCACATGTTTTCACCAAATTTCACGGCACGACTTTTGTTTTTCATTGTACACTAGGAGACAGCAGGGCTGGTACAGTACTGCACTCGACCGCCTTCACTTCCCCAAGTTGTAAACTTAGGTATAGTATCTGTTTATAACTGGGTGAACTGGAAGCACCCGGTATCGAACTACCGACCCCTGCAACAGGAGGCGAGTGCTATATCCACTAGACCTCGTATATAGCTTGGAAAGGTATACATGAGTGATGATGATTGGGTGTAAATGGGAGCCAATATACATACTGCATTTTTTTACTCGTGTCTGAATCTACCAAACCTTACTGTTGTCATAAGCCCACAATAGATCACCTGAATATTAGCCCCCCAGCTTACTTAAGGTGTTGGTGGTACAGCGGTAGCGTGCGTATCTCTCACACTATCATAGGTTCGAGTCCTGGCCCGAGACACGCGTGAGAAGGGTGTATCTATGACTACCAAATATCACAGGTTTTCTCCAGGCACTGTACTCTGGTTTCCTCCTGCACTAACACTGGACAATAAAGGTCGGAACAAATAACAGATCAGCCGCCCAAACGGCTAGTAAGCTGACATGTGGTGAAATGATAAATTAACAATGAATTATAATTAATACTCACGACTGAGGGAAGAGAAGAAGATGGGGATGCATCTGGTGCAGGAGGCGGTGGAGCACCTTCCCATCTTCCTGTCAACATGTTGCGTTTCCATCCTATACCAGTGGGTGGAGAGTTGTGTCTCTACCTTCACCCACACCCCTCCAAAAAAAAAGTAAAAACAAGCGATATTACGTGGTTGTCCTTGAACACTGAAATACTGCATATATCTCTTCACTGGACACTCCACCATCAATAAATGAATCCCTCGTGTTTTTACTCGTACAAGTAATTTTTTTTACACATTTTATAGATCGAAATGGATTGCATTATCCTCAAGTCTGGTACTTCGGAGAGATTTTTTGTTACTCTGACAATTGCACTGATGATGTGTAATGTTATTCTCATACACTTTGCAGAATTAACAAGGGTCTGATAAATTCATAGATATTTAACACTTATGGAATGATCGGGTATCACAGTATCGGTGAACCAGGCGAGGCGGAGGACTGACTGACACACACACACCGGAGACCATCCACCAAGGATGTGAAGTTGTGAACTCGGGATTTTGTGGCAGCCCAGCACGATTGCCTTCCAGGATTACTACTGCGGCATCACTCCCCCCGCTCCCCGGACCTCGGGCTGATGGAGGAAATTGTTACTCGCGTTGTTTTTTTTTTGTCAAGTGTGGTGGTGGTGGAGTGTGGTGGTGGAGGAGTGTAGTATGGTGGTGGTAATGGAGGAGTGAGGTGGTGATGGAGTGTTGTGGTGGTGGTGTAGTGTGGTATAGTGATGGAGGAGTATGGACTGTAGTGTGGTGGTGGTGTAGTGGTATGGTGGTATTGGAGTATTGTGGTAGGGGAGTATTGTGGTAGGGGAGTATGGTGGTAGTGGAGAATTGTGGTATTGGAGTGTGGTGGTGGTGGAGTGCTGTGGTGGTGTCGTGATGGAGAGGTATGATGATGGTAGTGGAGTGTGGTGGTGGTGGAGTATGGTGGTAGTGGAGTGTGGTAGTGATAGTGGAGTGTGGTAGTGATAGTGGAGTGTGGTGGTGGTAGTGGAATGTGGTAGAGTGTGGTGGTGGTGGAGTGTGGTGGTGGAGTGGTAGTGGAGTTTGGTGGTGGTGGTAGTGGAGCGTGGTGGTGATAGTGGAGTGTGGTAGAGTGTGGTGGTAGTAGAGTATGGTGGTAGTGGAGTGTGGTGGTGGTAGTGGAGTGTAGTAAAATGTGGTGGTGGTGGTGGAGTATGGTGGTGGTGGTGTAGTGGTGGAGAGGTATGGTGGTAGTGAAGTGTGGTGGTGGTAGTGAAGTGTGGTGGTGGTAGTGGAGTGTGGTGGTGGTAGTGAAGTGTAGTGGTGGTAGTGGAGTGTGGTGCGCAATAAATCAGTCTACGAGTCTGCCTGCACCTGTCAAGAAATATTAATTAAATACTTTTGCTTCCCCTTTTCAAAATATACACACTAAACTCCTTGTTACTCTTTTATGTAAAACCCCTGATCTTTAAAACAATTTTCATGAAAACGGAACTTTGAGACACGTGTGTGTTTGGGAGGTGGACGCGTTACCCGAGCACTCTGAATCCAACTGACGTGCGTAGCGTTTGGGGAGTGCAACTGTGCAGCAAAGTTGCCAACACTTGTACCGTTTGGGTGACTGGTGGTAGATGCGATACCGTTCTTGCCTCGCAAGCGAGATGACACGGGTTCGATTCCCGGGCCGGTGGAAGTTGTTTGGACTTACTTCCTAGCCCCCAATTAGTCCCTGTTCACCTAGCAGTAAAGTAGGTACCTGGTGTAAATCGAAAGTTGCGAATTCGTATTCAGGGAAAGTTGTTGGAGCTTCCAATAACTTCATGACATAAAACCACTGACTCTTCAGGCTTCTACGCCCTTAACTCGTGAGACATAAAGGCAAGAATGAACTTAGCATGCTTCCCTGTTGGGCGCTGTAAACGCTTCTGCGCTTCACCTTACACAAGGATGTAGGGGGGTGCCCAATAAAAAAATAAAAAAAAAACTTGTACCGTATACTCCAACCACACACACACGCAAGCAAACGCATACATACACACACAAGCAAACGCACACATACACACACACACACAGAGTATATGAGTTAGAATTTATACATTAGACCGAGTATACTGGACGAAGGTGTCATATGTGTGTACAGTATAGTGATATTACTATTGACGCTTTACTATGAAATACATCAAGTATAAGTATGGGTCTATAAACAGAAAACTTTAATCATTTCTATATATCAACAATAAACTTGTGCTCATATCTGAGGGTTGGCGACCAATCCTCCAAGATTTTGTCTCTCTGGGAACCAAATTCTTAACTTTAGTCTCTACCTTCCCCTGGCCCTAACTTTACCCATTAATATTTATTTTATTATTCCTTCATCCCTAATTATATGACCGAAGTACCTGTTTTTCATTTTTCTTTTTATGCGAACCCAAGTACTTTTTCATTTGTTTTCCTGTTAGTGTAACGTATTCTTAACATCTGCCTAATAATTATTCTATCCCTGTCCCTGTTTTGAGCCTTCCTAAATCCCATTTGATTTTGTCCAATGTTTTTCCGTTTAATTTGTCTAGGTTAGAGGCTCACTAAACTTGATCCGACCCACAATCTGACCCTGAATAGATCTTGGTTCGGGATACTGAATTTCTGATTTTGTTTCCTCTGAATTAAAATGTAATCTATTTGATTACTGACAATGTTATTTACATTGTCCTTATGATGAACAACAAAACCAGCACTTGACAAGACATCTATTTCACGGCGGCAGTTTTGGATCAGTCTATCTCTATCATCAAACTACAAAACAAAAACATACAAGACGTAAGAACTCAGCTGTGCAGTATGCAAGAAATCATTGCAAGATATCAGTAAATATACAACATAAAGACTAAACTGTGTGCCACCATCCATCGCAGTAAAAAAAAAAAATGTGACTACCCTCTCAGCTACACAAGGATTTGGGCGGGCTCACTAACTCCACCGCAGTATAAAAAAAAAAATAATAATAATATGCAGCACTATATAAATAAACCAATATTAATACAAAGGTCTGACGACCCAAGGGAGCAAAACAAAGATAAAACACCAATAGGAAAGATGAAGCGATCTGGTTGAGCCCAGATTCTTTCTACTCCTACTGTATTTCAGTTTCACCACTTTTTCTTCAACCCCTAATAATCTTCTTTCACCTCATAACTCATGACTCCACCACCACTTCCTAACTTTACCTTCCTCCTACACCGTCTTCCGTCTTCAGCGCAAACGGCTCTCTTCTCTCTATCTCATCATCATCATCAATAAACCAAAAAAAATGATAAAACACGAAATCCATACATGACAAGAACTTTGTAAAAATTAACTAACAAGCCTAAAGGAAACTTTCTTGAGAAATGCAGAAGGTTTAAGTAAGTCTTGTTGTTCACTGTTGGGGGTTTTCCTTAATTGCTAACAAAATTCATTATCAGGGTTAGTGGATTTTGTTAACTATTAAGGCTCACCTAGAAAAAATATGCACATGGGTAGCGCTGAACATTGGCGTACTTATAGGTAGTAGGTATTAGGCAGCTATCAAACAGGGAGGTACTACCGCCTAGGAAGATATTGGAAGCATAATGTGTTGTCTAATGATAGACCCTGCTGCCATATGGCATCACGAAAATTGTGACCAAGTCCCAGGTTGCTGATCTGACTTTCTGCCTCATTTACGCACAATTGCAGGGTCTCAATTGTTTCTCTTACTATTGACAACACAACATACATACATACAGTATATTGTTCCTCACTTTTTATTTTTGTTTTCATTTTGTATTTCTTTGTGGTTCTTTATTATTATTGCTATTATTATTATTATTATTATTATTATTATTATTATTATTATTATTATTATAATTATTATTATTATTATTATTATTATTAATATTATTATTATTATTATTATTATTAATATTATTATTATTATTATTATTATTATTATTATTATTATTATTATTATTATTATTATTATTATTATTATTATTATTATTTCGCCCCCCAGGCCCCGATGTGGGTCAGTGACCTGTGCCTGGGTGGGCTAATCCCTGTAAAAATAAAAAGTATTTTAGGCATTTTATTATTTCATTCACCTATTTAAACCCTTCTTTTAAAATCGAAAACGTTAAATGTACAGTACAGTTTGCCGTTTTTGCTTGTCCTATTTTTCTTTTAATATTTTTTTATTATTACAGGTTGACAATCCCTTAGCCGAAATCCTTGGGACCAGAGGCATTTCGGATTTCGGAATTTTTCTGTTTTCAGATTTTTTTTTTTTTTTAATGTGTATTAGCCCATCCGGGCACAAGTCACTGACCCACATTGGGGCCTGGGGGGCGAAAATATAATAATAATTATAATAATAATAATAATAATACAGGTAATAATAATTCATAGGTCTAGGTTGTGTTTCTCATTTTTTTTAACCTTCGGGTATTACATAAAAAGAGGAAATACTTGTAATGTATAATATTAATGACTAGCTGGAATACCTGGCATTATCTGCACCCATGGCCCAAATTAAGTGCACATGCACATAGCCATATCCAAAATCAGCTCTGTTGATAACAATGGTCTTACACAAGAGACCTACTCTTAGGTATGACCCCCCGCACCCAACCCCCCATTAAATATTCATGAGCATTCTTTGGACTATTATCAAACCAAACTTCAAATCTCTGTCTTAAAAACCATATCTGTGCATTATAAACAAACAGGAAAATAAATGTGCTTTTAATGAGGGGGTTCCACCTTTGGGGGCAGGGGTACAGTCTACTCATCATCATGCCAAATTTCAGCTCTATCTTCAAAACTTTAACCACACATTACAAGAAATCACTCACAAACAAATGCTTTATATATCAGATGTTCATAAGATTAAGTAATGCAATATTACATGATTCATCTACCATTACATGCACTATGAAATGGTTTTTTTTAAGTATTGAATTGATTAGTGGTTTTCTTCCAGTATGTAATAGGCCATTGACCAATTTTGCTGTATAAATATACAGTATTTATGAATGGAACCATTTATCAGAAAAGGTGGATGTAGGAAGGAAATTCATAAAATCATCTATTTCATATTATAAATTTGCTATGAGTTGTGACCATCTTGTAATATATTAAACTCGAGAAATATAAACGAGTCAACCCAACATAAGATAAGTTCATTATTTGAATATCCTCTGCAATATTTATCATTCGGACAGATAGGAGTGTAGTAGCATAGGAAACACAAGCAGACATTGGGAGATTGGTTTAATTATTGGGTGTTCTTATTGTCATTTACTCTTCTGAAGAATGCTGTAAGGCCAATAATCACACATCATGAGTAAAATTCCTATTGCTTGTTTGTCTTTTCTTTGCTACCATACCCCTTAAATCCTCTACCTTGTCTCTATGAGTTTCCTATTCTTATGAAGTGGAGACAAAAAAGGCAAAAAATATATCAGGAGACCATTTATTGTTTAATGATGTCCAATACAGATCCCTTACCAATAATGGAAAGTTTACAAGTGACATTACTGAGAAGCCAAGAGTCCATTTGAACAAAATCTGTCATACAAGAGTAATAAGAAATTACCCGGTATATAACACTGAAAATCACATGATATAAATAATTATTAAAATGATCAGTAGGATAGTCTTCTAGATATGAGGAAGCTATTCTGTATTGAGGAAGAAGATGCAGTATTACATTTTAGTTTTTATTTAAAGCTGTTATGTGACTTTGTTTTTTAACTGATTTATATGACATTGAAGAACCAAATCATGGGCTATGGCTAATACACAGTGGCTGAGTATAGTTTTTTTATATAGTAGAACAAGCCCTTTACTGAACACATCTCATTATTATAGTTCTACATTTACAGCTCAGAAACCAAACATGGAAAGTACACGTGCAATTAAACTTACATTACATGACATTTTCCCCAGTAACTGAATGCCTTTGTTTTTGGTAACATTTGTAATTATGAAGTCTCCAGCATCCTAAAAAATGTAAAAACGAGGTTCCTCAACTATATCTCTCAGATCGGTAGAAAGACATGAAATAAAATAAATTTGGACTCAAATTTGCCAAAGACACAATTGCTTAACTTCCTGCCCCTTGTTTCCACCTTAGAGTGAGATATGAAATTGTTTATAAATATGAAATTTAAAACTGACTACCCAAATTCACCAATTAAATTTTTAAACCTAACATAGTGTTTAAAAGACACATGAAAACAGAATAAAGCTGCATTAAAATGTATTTAAATATTCATTACCATAATGTTAATTCTTCTTAGTTTTTATAAAGTACAGTACATGCAAAGTTTGAAATATTATTCAAACAAGAGGTATGAGTAATAAAAAAAAAATCTCTGAAAGGTGCAACATGATTAAGTATCGTAAGTGATAATACTGGCAACCGTTAGTATGACTTTTATATACTGTAGTAACCATCCATATATGTGAGACTTTAAATATACTTTAATAAATACAGTAGTAGAAGACAGCATAAACTAAAAACTGTATGTTTCTTGAGTGTTTCTCTTGTGTTCTGTGCATGTGTATTTGTAAACATTTATGCATGCATGGGCAAGTTACATAGGTAATGACACCCTCAGTTTTCACTTAAAATAGCCAAACAGACTGAACAATATAAAAATTAATGATTAAGACAGTCTTTAAAAAATAAACAAATAAATTATCATTAATAATTATGTTGTTACTAACCTTGGTAGACGATATTAAGAATCCTTATTACTCATCCTATACTAAATACATATCAACCATATTCAATAACCATCTAGATCCATATTGTTATTCTGGTTCTGTTCAGTATTTAAAATAGTTTATGGTCATTACTAATGGTTTATATATCAATTTTCTCTGAAAGCAATTCTAAATGTACAGGTATTACTCCATTTATTACTACTGTACTTCACACCATGTTTAACGTTAACTCTACCACTAAGAATACAGTAAACATAATCCTCTTCACAACCCTATGCCTTGGACAATGTATCTTTAAAAAAATAATTAGTTAACTACAAATTATGTCACACTCCACATAGCAAGACTTAATTCTCTTGGCTTTAACTACACTGAAAGTTGAATGGGATCATCTGAAGAATCTCCACCCAAGCTTATTTCACCAACAGATTAACTACCTTAAATAGTGTTGGGATGGTTAATCTGCTTGTGAAATAAGCTGGGGTAGAGATTCTTCAGGTGATCAATTAAATGTTTAAATACAGTGACTGTTCAGCTGAAGTGAGGGTACTGTACCTAACCCAAACCAAGGAAGAAGCCAGGGTTTATAATCTGTGAGCCCAAAAGCACAAACTGTTCTCATGGTTTTAATAATGTGATCTACTTCATTTCATTGTACTATTTAAACTGTGCAGAGACTTTAAAGTCTGGTTGCATTGTGGTATAATGGATTGTGATAACAGTTAGAAAAATAAAGATATGAAGCTCTATCCCAGGAATTGGAAATAACTGTGTAGTCTTTACTGAGATTGAAATGCACAGAGCCACCTTAAACCATCCAAACACTAGAATGAAAGAACTCCCATTCACCTAAATGCTAGAATCAGTCATCCACACACTAGCAGTCAGTCAATCAAGTGTCAAATCTCAGTAGATCCAATATTTTACATACTGATGAATTACACCCAATTCTGGTACAGTGAATCACCTTGAACACATTCACTGGATTTGCCAAATTAAGAGGCATGTCTAGTTACTGATGGCATTGTTAAACTGAGAAACATTACACATTAATCATGAATAAGTATAGGCATTTAAAGGAAAATTCGCAATATACGTAGTTAATATTACTGATTAAATGGTATAGTATATTTAATATCATTATTGCAACATACTGACATTACAAATACAATATGGTATGTAATAACTATATCTAATTCCTGTAAAAAATATTATTAAATAAATTTGTTAGATTACTCACAATATCATTAAAACATTCTTTTCTATAACACTTTTATGCTTAAGTACATTTTACTTGGCAAACTTTCTTCATATCCACTGATTTGTGACAACTAAAAGTGAAGGAAAATAAGGAGGTCTACAATGACCGTTTATAATCTTATATTTAACAATCATAGCAAATTGTTGTTATGCCAGAACTTCCACTACAATCCCTAATTGCTTATATAACTTGTCTTTAAATTTATATCAATTCTATATGCATTAAATGAATAATATTTAAAAAATATTCAGGGAGGCCAATAAAAAAATACAATAACAAAACAAGCATCTATCGTGTTTTAACATAATATATTTATTGATACACTCAGGTAGTCCAATTCATTATTTTCTGTTCTGATGAAATATTCTAAATATACTGTACATCAACTCCAATTCATTTGCCTATCACTTGGACATTTCACTAAATAAATCTATTTCATAATTTAAGTTACTTGTTTATCACATGCCCTCAAGTCACCCACAGAAGCTTTACTGTGAGAGGAATGAAAGTGGTTATCTTTCTCTCATTAAAATTTGTTTTAATTGGCCACGTGTACAGCACAGCATCAATGACACACCGTCTCACACTCCACAAGTACCAGTCAGAGAATGCTTTTTCCCATGCTATATCTTTTTGGTTTCTCCTATATGCACCTTTCAATCATTTTCTCCTCTCTCTCTCTTACTTTCCCACAACATTTTAATGATTCTATGTGCAAGCAAGTGGTGACTGCTTCACATATGCTGGTAATGAAGCCAAACTATACAGCCAAACTATACTCGGTAAAAATAGTATCTTTCAGGAGGGGTCTGATGAATTTGGAACTGAACAATCCTGTTGTTTCATTACGGTTGGTAGATGTATTTGCAAGACATTTCCTACCTATTAAGGTTGACCTAATTTAGTTATTTCATTCAAAATATAAAATTAGTTTGTTGCATTATGATTGGTGAATAACAGAATACCTCATGGGACTTTATTAAAAAAAATCTTCATTCGTGGTGTCATTTTGTTTCGCACAAGAATTGTAAAGATACTTTTTTACCGAGTGTACATAATTCTTCCGCAAATGTCTCTTGTTGCTTCAGTCTTTAACACTAACTTGATGGTATACTACCTAGTCAATAGCCAAAACGCTTTAGTTAATCTCTCAAGGGGTTGAATGAGACATCAGTTACAGAAAGATATTCAGAAAAGATTTAAATGGAATTGGTCCAATATAAGTATGGGAACCATTTGTGGTTCTTGAAAAGATGAATTCCAATATACCAATACTGTATATCCATATCTTGCTTCACTTCCAAACAATGGTGTAGGCACTTGTTCGCTCGCCTATTCCAAGAATTTGTGGTGGCTTATGCTGTCAACCCAGCACCTACTTCTGCAGTGGGACCCAACTTGAAATAAGTTTTGGATCAAGTTACACTGAGTTTGCCTTAGGGAATAATACTGAATGGTATATTGAGTAACTTTGTTAAATATTAAGTGAATTACACAAATTCACAAAATGTTAATTTCTCGTTCCAAATTTTGGTTATAAATAATGATAAAAATTTGTCAAATAGGCGAGCTTTGCTGTTGTTCTAACAGCTTCAATTGTTATTTAAATAAGCAGCAACTATGCTATGGCAATGAAAGGAAGCAAGAGAAAGATACAAGAATGTTTTAAATGTAGATACTGTAGCACTAATATATATGGGAAATATCACCTGACACACCTCTTAATTTCAGATGCTCTCTTTAAGGGCACATCATTATCTTCATGTCACCTTTGGACTTAAACATGTATAATAATAATAATAATGACTCTACTTCTAATATTATGAGTAGACACATTCACTGACATTCTTTTATTTACTTTAATCTTAATTTTTTAAGTATCAGGTTATACCCATGTTTAGTTTGAGCACATTATCTTTAATTCCATGAAAAAGTTGACTTCCATACCCTGAGAGAATAAAACATTGGTCATCATATGCATCAGTGCACAAAATAAGTAAATGTTACCATTTTGTACAGGAAAAATTACACAATATAGGAATATTTTACTTCATATATAAGTGTGTGATAATGAAGTTGTGAGTCCAACTTAGCAGAAATGTTAAATGAAGACGATATAGCAGCACCTCTGAATATCATTATTTTCAATCAACATCATGATTACATTTGACATAAAAATTACATAATACTATTCAAAGCCTTATGGAAAGAATTAGTTACAATCATACTTCAATGATTTTGTTAAACCTCAAAAAACATGAATTACAACAAAATATTTCCCATTCTTTTAAACATCTGAAACTTTTGAAATTTAAAAAAATAATCATACAATCATACTTTGCTAATTAAAGTTTGATTCCATATCTGTGGTGCTCCTCTTTCAAGGGGGAGGGGGAGTGGGGTTTAGCAATCTTGGATCTGAAGAAGGGAATTGATTGCTGCCTCTTTGTTACCTCCTGATGCCTCCAGCACCGACTTGACTACTTCAGCATCCACATCTGGGAACATCTCTTCAACCTGTCCAAACATTATATCATTACTGAATATATATTATAAAAAGAGAGAGAGAGAAAGAGCGAGACCATGAGGACATCAACATATAAAATACCACTAGTCATGGCATCAGTGAGGCCTCTCTCAATCTCTCCTATCCAATATAGAAGCTATGGTACCCCACACACACTTAAGATACAGTAAATCCTCGCAATTTGGGACTTAAGTAAATAAACAACCTTTTTCTGAACAGTTTCTAAAGACAAGATAATGAAACATAATTAAAATTAAAAACTAAATCAATATCCACAACACCTACTACTAAATATTTTTCAAGTGTGACCAAACATTGGGAAGCATTCATAATTTATCTCTTTAAATAGGGGCTGACAGTGAAACCTCCATATAACGGACTTCTCTCTCCATATAAGCCATTAGATGGGGGGGTCTCACATCTAACGGACCCCTGATGTAATGGACTTCCATCTATATATAGTCCGTTAAATAGAGGTTTCATTGTATGACATTTTTACACAATATTCATTTACTACTCCAGTGAGATGGGCTACAACTGCATGTCAGAGAATAAGATCTCTGACTCGTAAAGTATTAAGAATTGTACAGTGTTAACTTTTTGTGCAGTAAATGAAGGAAAACTACAGTAAGAAGAAAACAAAAAAAAATCTACGATACTGATTCACTTTATCAGATAAGAATAAAAAGCTAATCATCTGACTGTTTAGTTATTTATGAACAATACTCAATCTTCTCTAAAGGAAGACAAATGATTAAAACCTAAAGTCAAACATATACAGTTTCTAATTCCCAGAAACTAGGAGGGAAAGCTACCGAGAAAGCTAAGATGGTTCTCTAATACGTTAAAGAATAAGTCGTACCTGTTTCAGATCTTCGGCGGATATGACTGGTTGTGGGGGAGTAGAGACAGGAGGTTGGTGGGTGGGTGGTAAGGTGTAAACAGGCACAGAAGCATAGCCTGGGTAGGTGTAGCCGGAAGGTGGCATCATTATCACCGGCCTCATGTTTAGATCCTGTGGTAGGATCGGGCCTGTCTGAAATGCAAAATAATAATTACAGGTGACTGAGATGACAATCGCTGAAACACTATCAATCCAATACAAAAATGTATACCTTTCCCTGATAATTAGATAGGTTTCAATATGACCTTTGCACAATTCCCCAATTTTCAGAAAATATATGAGTCTAGCAAGCTATTCATTATTACCGTATTAACAACATGCATACTTACCTCATATGACATGACAATATTTATCGTGCCTTCCTGACCATCTCCAAGCTTACCAGTCAAGCTGTACCATTCATCCACAACCTCACTCTGAAAATAATAAGCAATGTTAAGACAATAAGTCAGTAGCTATGCTTTGCTATTAAAAGTTTGTTCACATGATGAGTAAAGGTTCAGGCAAAGTGGTGAACACAATGTAAAAAAAAATGGGTTAATCCTCGATGTCTTCTCAATTTTAAGTCTCAAATTTGTGGTAATATGTAAATTAACTTTTAGATAAACAAACTGCAAAATACCTGAAATCTGTACAAAAAACTAAGTTTATGAATAATAAAGCTCCTACATGCAATTATAACATCTGAACACTTAAGGTAAGGTTGTAGGCCTTTGGATGAAGTCTATCAAGTATCAACAATAACATACAGTATGAAGCAGGAGAGAAAGACACTCTAGTTAGGTGTCTAGCAATGAAGAGAAGCAATGTCCCTCAAGAAACCCATATACGGCCTTTACGTATGTTTCCACAGGCAATTTTATTTAAATGTTCTTTTTATAACATTTTTACCTAGTATTCTTTAATACATGAAAAAATATTACCTGGAACACTGCTTCTGGGATGGTAAGGTTCACCCAAGCAATCAGCTCGTCATCTGTTAGAGTTCGTTCATCAAAGATTTCTATGTGCACTGTGTTAATTCCCTTTGGAAGCTGGTATCTGAAATTCAAAATAGTGTCAGGACTCACAAATATAAACTGTAAACTGCTATATAAAAGTAAAGAACCATTTACTAATGGGAAAAGCTCAGCTGGTGGTTCAATTAATAAGAGTGGAGGACTGAGTTCTCTCCTTGGATACTTAACACTCAGCAATTAATAAGTATAAGTATTCTCAGGTGTGCTTGTCAATGGTGGAATGACTCTTCAATGGATTAGTACTGCAGGATTTTAAGAATCAGAAAAAACTGAACTTATGTAATCACCCAGCATAATGCAGGGAGAAGATTGTAAGAGGAGAAAAATTATTCTCATTGTTAAGCTAGTCTTTGACCTGAGTAGTATGAGTAACCTTTACCCCCAGAAATCATCTCTAACTCTTTTGAAGTGGAGAGCCATTGGATTTCCTGTCTCCCTGAATTTCTATTCTTGTTCTAAAAACCACATGGAGGCACTGTGAACAATTTTCGGGAGTTCATATGCATCAGTGTAACCTATAGGTCTAAATGCACTGCCTGCTATACCTGTAGGCAGTGTGACGCCAAGAACTAGCAAATATAGTCATAGTAAAACAGAGCACTCGATATCAAACTCCAATACAGAAAGCTTCAGCAAGCGTGGGCATAAACACAAAATAGTACTGTAACTTTGACTGTGAGGACATAATATGAAGCAAGGAATCATACAAATGTTTGTAAGAGGTAAAAAGGTTACAATGAGGCAAGGTGAGTTTGAGTGTATGAAGATGGGAATATTCAAATAGCAGGAGAAGTGTAAGTAAAGCAGACATTGAGGAGTTGTGTAAGGAATATTGGGCAGTGTTGGATTTCTCCTAGTCACGTTTAATACTAAACCATAAGAATTTCCAATACAGTAATTTCTATCTATGTTCCAACAAATGATGGTGAGGATGCAGTTTTAAGAAAGTTTTATAAAAGGTTAATTAGAAAAAGTTCAATGAATATTTCATTACAATGGTTGATTTTACTGTGAAGGCTTGACAGGGGACGTAAACACCAGAAGCATAACCAAATGGGCCGGGTATATAACACAGATGAAGAAACATCAGCTGACTTTTGCTAACAAACTATGATTATTACGCGAATTCTTGATTTGTAACATTTCCTGGGTCATCTTTATACATGGTAAGCACCCCAGGATAATAAGAATAATGCTGTCAGAAGCCAAATAGATTATAGTAACTTTCTTTAAAAACACAGTAGCTTACACTAATATACCTACCAAGAGTACACTTTGGCTGAGAGAGCATCCAAGTATTGAGTTTAGTGAAAATAACACGTTAAAAAGAAAATATTTGGATATATCCAAGTGAGATCACAGGAAGCTGAACACTTTGACAGGGATAGAATATGATACTGAAACTCAAAACAGTTTTATTTGTTCAAGGTTGAACTTAAGAGCAAGAAATAGAGAGCAATAAATGAGCCATGATTTACCCATACGTACATGCAACTGCTATTGGATATCTGCATGTACAGTACTTACAACTTAATGTCAAAGTGACACAAGTGCAACTCACACTTGAAAAGTCTTGTTCCAGCGAGGATTCTTTGCTCCATTTACATCTGTCTGTGTTTCGTACACGTAATGACCCAACCTCACTCGAACGTAAGGATCCATTCGTGTCATCCCATAATTTTTATTCAAAACTGCAGAGGCAATTGTCATCTGAAAGTTTATTTAAAAAAAAAAAAATTGCAGTGAATAATTGGTAACACCCGCAAGACAAGCTTCAAATGACATGAAAGATGACTACTGGTGTTACAGATACAACAGGTTACAGTCAAACCCCTCAAGCCCACTGATCAGTAAGCCCAGGGAATGAGTGGGGACATTTAAGATTCACATTGGTTTTGTTTTCTTTATCTTTGCAAGTTAAGGATATGAGGATGGTATTTTTACATGTCATTTTAGCCCCTTCCCACCACTTTCTAGTATTCTACACATAGTCATGCACCGCTCTAACCCACTATCCAGCCCCCCTTCCAATAAGAATTTTTGCACTTCTTGTTCATCTCTAAGCAAAAGAAGAAAAGGTGCGGGCAGGGTGCGCACAAGGTCGCCCAGTCATCAAAACATTACCGAGTTCTTCACCCGCCACCCACCACAGCCGGCCCAAGTCAGTGATAGTGAGGATATGGACTTTCAGGGGTTTGACAGAGGCCCTGCAAGCCTCTGTGGTGGATAGTGATATAATAAATACAAGTGATACAGATGAGGACCAATAATCTGCCATCTGCCTCAGAACCAACCTCCCATCCCCATGTGCCCAGCCATCTATTCTACTAACGTAAGTGTTAAAAAACCTAATATTATTGATATTTCTCTTAATTATTAATTGTGTGTGCATACCATCATAAAATTAAGATGTTATTTTGACTACAAGGTACGTATTGTGTCGGAAAAAGTGGAGTTTGGGGATCGGCCCAGTCTCTATTTCAATTAATCCCATATGTTCTGTTATTTCATCTACGCATTTCTCGTTTTACGCGGTACTCCACGGGTTCAACTGACCGCGTAAATGAAGACCCAACTGTATATAAATATAGAAACACTTCTTATACAGTGGATAATGAAGTGAGGTTTAGGAAGATTTTAACCAAACAGGGCATTGCACAGGGCAAGTTGTAAGAGACAGTAAAATAAAGACAAAAAGTGAACAGTTGTGGTAACAGCAAACTAATGATCACACATAACCTGCCAAATGTGATGACCTCATACAAAAGATGATTCTTATACTAACATTAGTACAGTGTACCAACCTAAAATAATACTAATAATATATGTATAGTCATACTTCACACAGAAAACCAGACAATCAGGATCACTGACCTGGAGTCTGCCCACATTTGGCTGTGACTGAGCATACATCTGGTGCTGGAGGCGCATGGCAGCTGCTCGATCAGCCTCCTCCTGCGTCTGAATCTGGGTTGGTGCCACACGTAGGAAGTCATTAGGAAGGGTTCCTAACATCACCTGTAAAATGGGGTATCATAAATTTATGGATAATGTACAGTACTTTCCTGACTCCTACAGTTGAAATAAACCTGACTAAAGTCTTTGACAGAAAAAAGATAAATTGTCAATAATCATGTTTTATGTCCAAATGACATAAAACACTAGTCCACTTATGAGATGATGAAAGAGTGCAACCAGTGTTGATACTTACTGTACTTCTTAATGGTGTCGAACGATGATCTATATAGTATCGTCTTCCTCGATACATATCACAAGGGAATGGAATTGGGATAAAGAATGGAAAAAACATTGACCTAAGTGTCCTGTGTAAAATAAGAAAATGTAACAACGTTTACTTTCAAATCAACAAAGATACATCAGACTGCATCATATATGTAAAACAGTATCTGACCCTCATTTCCAATATTCTGTAATTCATCTTTTTCACATACTGTAGTTACCCAAATTTATACACTAAATTAAAAGGTGCCATCCGTTAAGTTCTCCAGTGACAGTTCAATGGCTGCTGTTAGACTATGATGCTAAGGGATGAATTAAAGATGACTTGAACTGGCCAAACCTATCTTAAACCGATAACCTGATGTTTTGTCCCCCTCCAGTTCTTATCAACTGAAGTTTAACCACCCTTATGTTAACCTAATCTCCCTGGTAGCATTAGGGTGGTTAATCTTCAGAAGAAATAAGCTGTTTACCTGAGCCACAGGATGCATCATCATCAAGATCATTGTCCAAATTTTTCAAAGACATTAAGAATTATTTTAGGTTACGATTAGGTTCACGTGGGCATATGACAGACAGCAAAACCTCATAATTATGGGAGACAGTTTGCTGACAGATTGTTGGTGCTCACTGGTGTTATCATTTGTCACATACTGTACAAGGTGGTGTTATCAAAGTGAGCATGTGACAGTGGCATCTGTTAGTGATATTTACGGGAAAACATAGGGACAAAAACCTGAATGGGAAAAGCGTTATTCCTCCACCTGACTGGCTTTAAGTTTCGGGGTATGAAATAAATTTTCTTCAATAGATATTTCTCCTTAGGTGGCTGAATAACCTGGATGACTGTCCTTAAATCTAATCACCATTTATTCATGTTGTGAACCGAACAAACCTAACCTAACCTCATCGTCTCTGAATAAGTTTGAGTTCGGTAAATATAGTTGGGTTAGGTTATGTCTATTCAATTTGATTTTCCCCTATTGAAAGAAGTCATCTTCAAATTCTCTCAAAGAAAATCACAGAAATACCATGATGGGTGATCATGGCGAAGAACAACTTTTTTCTACACAAGTTTCTACTATAGTGGCTCAGGTGCACAAACAGTAAAGTATTGGTAGTGAGTTTCTTAACATCATTCAGCATATCTTTCTTTATTGATCAACCTACTGACAGTTTGGTATACAAGTGCTTCGCCTCTCACAAGGAAACAGCCTGGAGCCACCATTAAACTGTTGTTGTTTATTCACAATTACTTTCATCATGAATAACAAAAAACACATAAAATGATTGTAACATAACAGTCGTTTGACGATCTTATCAGACACCAAACTGGTAATAATTTCCTCAAGTGTTATGACAGAGACAAAAGACGATAAAATAAAAGTCAAATTATCCAACAATATATTTTCTTCATTATGACACCAAATTAAGTGATAGTCGTGCACACACACTGAGAGAAGTACAGTAGGACACACTGAGGTTGTACTACGACTTTAAATGAGCGACACCTGGCAGTGACTCACAGCCCCGTGACGCTGATAGTGACGACACAAACATGTAACCCAAGACAATTATGTGGTTATACACGATATTTATGTACCGTCTGTGTTTTAAATTGAAATGCAAGGTTAAGTGCTTGTTACTTCTTAATAAATTGCCGTGCATTATATGTTCTACCGTGTGTGAGTCAAGCCATACCTGTTTCCTCCGCTGCTCGCACTTATCGCCTGCCGTCGACGATGCCATCTTGAGTGTAAACAGACAACATTCAAGAAGCCTTAAAGTGATCTATTAATCTATTACATTATTTTAGTTGATCAAGAATACAGAATATTTGATTCTTAAGATATTTAAGCCAGTAAAAATATTTTGAGTCAATCAACAAACAAATAATTATATAAAGTTAAATCAATACTTGAATGTTTGAACTTAGGTGTGCCACATTTCTTAAGGTTTCTTAAGGCGAGGTTAGGAATTTCTTTTGAAACTAATAAGGCTTCTTTCTCCATCTGTATTTGTGTTTTATATCTATTTACTGCTCAGCAGATGACCAGAAATTCCCAATACAATTTAATAAATATCTTAATACTATTTTTTTTTTATACGGGGAATTGCCCACCCGGGCACAGGTCATCGACCCACAACGGGGCCTGGGGGGCGAAGAAATAAGAGAAAATAAATTAGGGTGCATACTAATACTTTACTACTTCCCCATTGTTCTCATTTCATGTTACGAACTCAACATTTCAGGGCCGATCCGGGGGGTCCGGCCCCCCTTTTATCAGAAAATCCCAATACTTTTCCTGAAGTACAGTATTATACTCGGGTGTTTTTATATCGTAAACATTAGTTACTATTGACCTAAACATTCTCATGATATTGGTCAGATTTCAAAAATTTTCTGGGGGGCTTACAGTGCCCCCAACTGGATGGGCTCACTGTGCTCGCCATTTTCTGCCCTTGCATTTGCAACTTTGCTTAAAATGAACATGTTAAGATGGGAGCAAGCAATTCCTACAATAAATGACGAGGCAACATCTTGATACACGTTGAGGAAGAGGCTATAGGTTTGGAGATTTTTTCCAAGGCTGAGACATTGTAGGTAGAGGATGTAGCCATCTATAGAATCCATAAATCCTGACAAATGATTTGTAGTGTGTTGGGAATAACCAAAATATTACCCTATACTGTATAACTTATTACTCAATTGGAATCCACAAGACTAAGTAGGTAATATCACATATACCTGTACTACCAACTTAAGCAATAACAGTTTGACCTTCACTCTACTGTACTGTACTACCAAAATCATATGGTTTCTGTGTGGGTCAGTATATTATAGCTTTTTTCCTTTACAGGTGTATAAATGAATGCAAGTTAATGTTAATATAAGGTGAGAAAAACAAAATCATACAAAAGTACACAGTCTATTTACATATTATACAAATTACAAGGAAAGTTGTAACACACAAATTCATCAAAATCTGACATCATAAATAGTACAATATTTAAAAAAGAAATGAGTGCACAACAGATTACATTCCACATTAGACATGCAGTTTGTACTGCTGTCCAACTTTTACAGTAATACAAATGTCATTAACAATTTTTCTTACACCTGTTTCATGGACTCACAGAAATCTGCCCAGTCTGAATCCTGAACTTTGTATGATTTACCGAGCTCCACTAATAACACTCCAATAACAGGATATTTACAAGATGATAACCTTTAATACTTGTGATGTAAAAGATCCCTCATCTACCACCAACACATTTTAAACGGGCAGCAGGAGACGTCACCAAACCAACTGGATACAGTATTACTCAGTTACTGTAACAGAATTACTCACACCACTAATCAGTACACAATTCCTACTTGTTTCCTTATCCATCCAAACCAGGAAAAACTATTTCACTACAATTAGTGTATTAAATTATATGCACCAGCTTAAAGAATGTGGAACAAACTATCACACCAATAGCCAATGCATTAGGGAGTATCTTCACTATGAAGAACACATGTCTATGCTGGTTCAAGGCATCAAAATACCTTTAAAGGCTTTGGCTAGTGATGCCAAAGCTATATACGTTATTTACAATCTGGATACAGGCGCCAAATGTATCAACTGTTACCTACATATCTGACAGGGCCAAAGACATATTCAAGAGATCCAAAATGTACGCATCATAATCTGGAGTAAAAACAACTTGCTCATTTACATTTGTACTTCGATCTATTTAAAAGGTTTCTTCATAGTACAAACCTTTATTATTAGCAACAAATGTGAACCAATTCCTTTTACATCAAACATCTTATGTGAACATTAATGGAGTGTTTAGTCTCCTGAATATGTTTTTATTGTGGAGAAATTGTTGCAAAGGCCTAAAAACCTGCATAAGGAAGATCTGTCTAAACTGTATAGCACAGCAGTCTTTCACTTTCAAGATCTTCATATAAATCTGACATTAAATAAGACTTTTAGAAAATATATGTATGTATATAATATATATACAAATATAGGAGCCATTACAAGAAAGCAAGAGGATGAAAATAATGCAGAAAAATATTACAATATTTCTATATGGATGGGGTGCCATTACACAATATTACTGTATTCAAGAAATTATTATGTTTTCCTATTTACACTAAAATTTTACCGATTACAAAATGTATGAAAATTAATTACAAAACCAGCATAAAATATTCTAAATATTTGTAGGCTGATAGCACGAAAAACAAATCTGACTTATTCCTTTACCAGTGACTCATACATACAGCAATTTCAAGATTAAGTATACTGTACTGTATTTGTATATGCTATAAGATTTTACCTGCAGAACTGAATATTATATCAAATACATTACAGTACTTTGTTCATATACTGTGTGTATATACAGTATATATACAGTACACACACACACACACACACACACATGCATTGGTATACAGTATAACTGAATACAGATCAAATTTGTTTGTCTTTTCTTTAAAGATAGGAACACTTTTTTACCACATGATTATAAAACTCTTAATTTCAACAAAGAACATCCAACAAAAGATCAAATGGAGACAGCAGTAAGTTCATGTATTATTAATAGTAAATAAGAAATGTTTAAATAATTTTTGATTGATATAAAGTACTTTTGCATAGTAAATATATTTTGTATATAAAAATCATAATTTCTTCTAAACATCAAAGCCAATTTTCAATTACATAAACCATACCAGCAGCTGTACATTTTAATGACATACAGTTCTTTGCAATTATTTTTATGAAAAAAAAAGTAAGAGAAGTATTAATAGTTCATTAGTTGCAATATACAGTATATGAGAAACAAAACAATACAAATTTCAGATGCTACAGGATCATATGCTGGGTACAGTATAAAGCTGTTCTATTTCCAGCAACATTACACGAGACAATCCCACCCAGTAAATGTAAATTTCAAAAGAATATTGAAGAGATGGTTGTGAATTTCAGCTTTTTCCTGAGTAGAACTAATTAGTGAGCCTTACAAAGGCATGTACAAGTAAACTTAAATGGTGTTATTCATATCTTAGTACAGCACTAGCCAAGTTTCTCTTCATCTACCAAGTACAGTATATTGTGTAGGCAAAAAAGTTTCACACTCAGTGTGGCTGAAGGTTTGATAAGATTACAGGATGGTAAGCATATCTATGTATTTTTTCATGAATGACGAGGCATGCCAAGCCAATAATAAACATTCAGTAACTCACCTTCACATTCTCAAAAGCTGATGACCTATAATGCTAAAGTCTGCAAACTTGGCTTGAGAATTAAATACAGTGACGCATAAGGAAAATAGACTGCCTATTACCCGTTTGACCTCAATGTGAGATGCTTATGTTAACAGGGTGATGAAGGACAAAGAACAAAGTACTAGCAAGTCATAGTTAGTGGGGTGTATTGTATAGGTGTGGAATGCAAAAAAAGATACTCGAGAAATATCTAACAAGTTGATCCAAACACAAAATATCCGTAATAGGGTAATGATAATTGGAGTACAAGCTAATATAAAGCAATCCATGCTTTACCCAGCCTTTAGTCACCACTCAATTCCTTCATGCCCCTTTGCTGTCTGAGTTAATTCATCTTCAGTTATACAATCATCAACAAGGTTTTATTTTCTCATATCGACATACTTACAACCTAAACATCGCTTGTATCTGCTAATGTACATCTTCCATGTATTACAGTTCTTATACTTCATGGTGCATCAAATAGTCAAACAATAAAAAAACACCACCTTTCAAGCACGGTATCCAATTATCCTTGCACTACTGTATGTTTTTCCTCTTAATATGGCACTGTGTATTACTTTATTACTATATCTTATTTTTACAAAGCTTACACTCTTGATTCCTGCCACTGTGCAACATGTAGAAAAAAGGTTGCAAGAGTGAGGGAAAAAAAATCAACATATTGCCTGAACTACAAAAAATACAGTACAGTACTGTACTTCTTAGGATCTCGAGTACGGGTATGTTGAAAAAGTCAAGTCCAGGTGACAGGATGCAAAATATTCAGTTACGTATATAATTATTGGCAGATATTTTTCCTTCAACTACCAACTATTTACAGGTAAAAAGAAAGAAAGTTAATATATACACAACATATACCAGAAACAAATAACATGCAGCAGTAAAACGTCAGCTGACCAACGTGTGTCTTTTATATTTCACTCATCACAATAACAGTGAGTCTTTAGTTGTGGGGAAAAAAATAAAAAATCTTAATTGTAAAACACCCAAAACACATTCAGACAATAATCAGAAACAAATACAAGAGGTTCATTGAGCCACCCAAGTCAGCATGTCACCTTGAGATAACCTATGACCATGTTGGATGCAATTCTAATATGAATGAATAGACAACAGATGGCTGGTGGGCAAAGCAGAGATTTGTGTTTAAACAGAGAAATATGGAATAATGTGAATAGTATAACAGAAATAATTAATTCGAGAAAAGAGTAGTGACATTACCCACGATAATCATACCAGTAGAAATTCAC